TCGAAACATGAAATACCGGATGAACTTCTACCAAGCTGGGAGGTAAGGCAAGCTCGTAAGCAACCTCCCCAACACGCCTCAATATCTCAAAAGGGCCAATAAACCTCGGACTCAACTTCCCCTTCTTCCTAAACCTCATAACGCCCTTCATAGGCAAAACCCAAAGTAGAACCCGCTCTCCAACCATGTAGGAAACATCACAAACCTTTCGGTCCGCATAACTCTTCTGTCTGGACTGGGCTGTGCGGAGTCTATCCTAAAGCACCTTAACCTTCTCCAAAGCATCCTAAACCAAGTCTGTTCCCAATAATCTAGCCTCACCCGGCTCAAACCAATCCACCGGGGATCTGCACCGCCTACCATATAAAGCCTCATACGACGCCATCTAAATGCTGGACTGATAGCTGTTGTTGTAGGCAAACTCCGCCAATGGCAAGAACTGATCCCAAGACCCTCCAAACTCAATCACACACGCACGGAGCATATCCTCAAGAATCTGAATAGTGCGCTTGGACTGTCCGTCCGTCTGAGGGTGAAATGCTGTGCTCAACTCCACTCGAGTACCTAACTCATGCTGTACAGCTCTCTAGAACAGTGATGTGAACTGAGTACCTCTATCTGAAATGATGGAAACTGGAATACCATGTAGACGAACGATCTCCCGGATGTAAATCTCCGCCAACCGCTCCGAAGAATAGGTAGTACACACAGGAATGAAATGCGCGGACTTGGTCAGCCGATCCACAATAACCCAAATGGCATCGAACTTCCTCAAAGTCCGTGGGAGCCCAGATACGAAGTCCATGCTGATCCGCTCCCACTTCCACTCCGGAATCTCTATCTGCTGAAGCAATCCACTCGGTCTCTGGTGATCATACTTCACCTGCTGACAATTAAGGCACCAAGCTACAAAACAAACTATATCTTTCTTCATCCGCCTCCACCAATAGTGCTGTCTCAAATCCTAGTACATCTTCGCGGCACTCGGATGAATGGAATATCGCGAACTATGGGCCTCCTCTAGAATCAACTCCCGATGCCCATCAATATTGGGTACACAAACTCGACCCTGCATCCTCAATACCCCGTCATCACCAATGGTCACATCTCTGGCATCGCCATGCAAAACCTTGTCCTTGAGGAAAAGCAAATGAGGCTCATCAAACTGACGCTCCCGGATACGATCAAATAAGGAAGACCAAGAGACCATGCAAGCTAGAACCCGACTGGGCTCCAAAAGATCCAATCTCACAAACTGGCTGGCTAAGGCCTGAACATCCATCATCATGGGCCTCTCTGCTGCTGGTAAATAAGCCAAACTCCCCAAACCCTCCGCCCGACGACTCAAAGCATCGGCCACCACATTGGCCTTGCCCAGGTGATACAAAATAGTGATATCATAGTCCTTCAATAGCTCTACCCACCTCCTCTGTCGCAAATTAAGGTCCTTCTGCTTCAACCGATGCTGCAAACTCCGGTGATCAGTATAAATCTCACAAGGCACACCGTACAAATATTGACGCCAGATCTTCATGGCATGAACAATGGCAACTAACTTGAGATCATGGACAGGATAATTCTTCTCATGAACCTTCAACTGTCTGGACGCGTAGGCAATCACCCTACCGTCCTGCATCAATATCGCTCCAAGGCCAACCCTCGAGGCATCACAATAGACAGTATAAGACCCCCGAACCGGTAGGCAATATCAAAACTGGGGCTGTAGTCAAAGCTGTCTTGAGCTTCTGAAAGCTCTCTTCGCACTCTTCCGTCCACTGGAACGGAGCACCCTTCTGGGTCAGCCTGGTCATAGGTGCTGCAATAGATGAAAACCCCTGAACAAATCGACGATAATAACCCGCCAAGCCAAGAAAACTGCAAATCTCTGTAGCTGAGGATGGTCTGGGCCAAATCTGCACTGCCTCTACCTTTTTCGGATCCACCTGAATACCCTCACTCGAGACCACGTGACCCAATAATTCCACGGAATCCAACCAAAACTCACATTTCGAGAACTTAGAATATAGTCTCTTTTCTCTTAAAGTCTGGAGCACTGTCCTCAGGTGCTGCTCATGATCTTCCCGACTCTGGAATATACCAGAATGTCATCAATAAAGACAATCACGAATGAGTCAAGATATGGTCGGAATACACTGTGCATCAGATGCATGAAGGCTGTTGGGGCATTAATCAGCCCAAATGACATGACAAGGAACTCGTAATGACCATACCGAGTCTTGAAGGCAGTCTTCGGGACATCTGGCTCTCGAATCTTCAACTGATGATAGCCTGAACGCAAGTCAATCTTAGAAAACACACAAACACCCTGTAACTAATCAAACAGGTCATCATAACGGGGCAAAGGATAACGGTTCTTCAGTGTAACCTTGTTCAACTGGCGATAATCAATACACATACGCATAGAACTATCCTTCTTCTTCACAAATAAGATAGGAGCACCCCAAGTCGATACACTAGGCCGAATGAAACCCTTATCAAGCAATTCCTGTAACTGCTCCTTCAACTCCTTCAACTCAGGAGAAGCCGTACGGTATGGAGGAATAGATATGGGCTGAGTTCCCGGCAACAAATCAATGCCAAAATCAATATCCCTATTGGGCGGCATGCTCGGAAGGTCAGCTGGAAACACATCAGAGAAATCCCGAACTACTGGGACTGAATCAACTGTAGGGGTATCAATACTGACATCTATCACATAAGCTAGATACGCGTCACACCCCTTCTCAACCATACGCTGAGCCTTATGGAATGGAATAACTCTACTGGAAGTATGATCTAAGGTACCCCTCCACTCAACACGCGGTACACTTGGCATAGCCAGCATCACGGTTTTGGCGTGATAATCAAGAATAGCATAATGGGGCGACAACCAGTCCATACCCAAGATAATACCAAAATCAACCATGCTGAGTAACAATAAATCGGCTTTGGTCTCAAAACCACTAAGAGCAACCAAACACGACCGATGCGGTCCACAATAAGAGAATCTCCCACACGAGTAGAAACATAAACAGGGGAACTCAAAGAATCCTGAGATACACCCAAATGTGGAGCAAAATAAGAAGACACATAAGAATAAGTAGAGCTTGGATTGAATAGAACCGATGCATCTTTGTGATAGACCAAGATAGTACCTGCGATGACAGAATCGGAGGCGACAGCCTCAGTACGGGCAGGAAGAGCATAGTATCTGACCTGGCCTCCCCCTCGAGGGTGACCTCTACCTCCCCGACCTCCACCTCTAGCTAGCTGAGCGGGTAGGGTAGCAACTGGTGCAGTGATCATAGCCTGAGAACTCTGCGGGGCGCGCTGTGGCTGAGAAGTCTGTAGAGGTGCAGCCCTCCCAAGTCTAGGGCAATCCCTCACCACATGGCGTGTGCCACCACACTCAAAACAAGCTTTGGGAGGACGTGGCGGCTGTGACTAACTCGGGCCAGGTCTGCTGGACTGGCCACTGGAAGCACCCCGTGCAGGAGGCGCACTAGATACCAGAGGTGCATAATAAGGCTCCTAAGGCCTAGGTGGAGTGGGAACACCACTGGCTGCTGGAAGAGCAGAATGAACGGGGCGACTCACATAACCCCTACCATGACGACCTGCAGCTGGGGCACGGGCACCAGAATAATGGCCTGACTCTCGAGACCTCTTGGCCTCTCTCTCCTCTCTATCCCCTAGCATCGCATACCCTCAATCCTCCTAGCATGCTCACCACCTGCTGACTAAGAAATACTCCATCTCTAACTCACTGAGCCATGCTAGACTTGATCGCTGGGAATAANCACGGAGGCGAACTTTATCCAAGTCATTGACATCTGGGTGTGTCAAAAGGAAGAGTTTGTGTGCAAGAACTAACTCGGGTTGTTGTGTTCCTTCTTCCGCATCCATGGCTACCTTTCTTTGCTATTTCTTGGTTTTTTTTATTTCACTGTACTTTCAGATGCCTCTGTGAAGAAGAAAAAAACGAGAAAGGGAAAAAACCGGATACTTTCAGATGCCTCTGTGAAAAAGAAGAAGAAAACGAGAAAAGGAAAAACCCGGGTACTTTCAGATGCCTCTGTGAAGAAGAAGAAAACGAGAAAAGGAAAAAACCGGGTAAATAGTTTGGGCCCCATGTGTAGGAGTAGTAAATAGTTTGGGCCTCGGCATTAAAGGGTAAATAGTTTAGGATTAATGGGTATAAAGTGGCCAAAATTTCACGGTATAGCCAGTTTTCGGACTGGTCAATCAAAAATAGCTAGCGTTTACCAAGTCAATGAAAAATAGCCACCGTTTTGCTGCAATAAAGACCGGTCCAGCATAATATACTGGAGTTCGGTGCACTTGTGTATGAACTCCAGCATATTATGCTGGACCGGTATACTTTGCTGGCTCCAGTATAATATACTGGAGACTGGAGCACTGGTGCTCCAAACTCCAGTATATTATACTGGACCATTATACTTGCTGGAACTCCAGTATATTATGCTGGAGTTCTAGTGTATTTATGCTGGAACTCCATCATATTATGCTGGAGTTCCAGCATACTATCCTGGAACTCCAGTATAATATGCTGGAGTTCAAGTATACTTATGCTGGAACTCCAGCATAATATACTGGAGTATTTTCCGGGTTTTGAACAGTGTTTTCGCTCAGATTTATCTGTACATATAAGTGGCTAAATTTCGATTACTTTTGAAATTGGGCTATTTTTGAACGACCAGTTATAAATCTGGCTATTTTTAAAAATCACCCTCAATCGATAGCTTATTGAGCTTAGGTAACATGGTATCAGAGTAGCGATCATGAGGCGCAAAGGTTCCGGCGTGTACTCTGACGAAATTCTGGCATATCGAAAACAAACGAAGCCCTAATTTTTTCACAATCATGGCAGGAAACGAGGTGACATTGCTCGAGCATAATCATCTGCTTTTTCTCCAAGACTAGTTTTGATTCCGATAAAACTCATTGGGCCAGAAAATTATGTTTTGTGGAGTAAGGCAATGAAACTAGCTCTTAAAGGTAAGAGTAAACTTGGATTTGTGGATGAAAGTTGTGTAAAGAGCATGTACAAGAGAGAATTGGCAGAGCAATGGGAGAAATGCAACACAATTGTGTCGTCGTGGATTAGAAATACTGTTGCAAATGAACTGATGCCGAGTATTGTATTTACTTCAAATGCGAAGAAAGTGTGGAGTGACTTCAAGAAGAAATTCGATAGATGCAGCTTGACAAGGATCTATCACCTGTGGACAAAAATAGCAACATTAAAGCAAGGTATTGATTCTATAATCACATACTATTCAAAAATGATAGATCTGTGGAGTGAATCAGGTATGTTAGCACCTAAAATCCTCTTGTGATTGTGAAGAGCCTAGACCTTTATTGATACATTTAGAACAATAGCAATTACTCTAATTTCTCATGGGACTAAACGAGAGTTACAGTAATGTGAGAAGCAATGTCTTACTGAGAATGCCAGTTGTGTCTATGAAAGAGGCATAAAAAAATTGTGACACAAGAAGATAGTCAGAGGGCGTTAGGTGTGATAAACACCAACAAAGACCCAATCTAAGAAGATTGGGTTGATCTGTGAACACTATGGATACAAAGGCTATTTGAAGGAGAACTAATACAAAATAATCGGATATCCAGCCGATTCTCACATTACTGTAACTCTCGTTTAGTCCCATGAGAAATTGGAGACCCAACATAAGAAGACTGGGTTGATCTGTGAACATTGTGGATACAAAGGCTATTTGAAGGAGAATTAATACAAAATAATTGGATATCTAGCCGATTTTACAAGCAAATGGAAGCCTCAATTTGGTGGAAACAAGACTTATGCTAATAGTGCAAGCGTAGATGATGGCAACACTAGTCAACCACAAGGTCACTATCTCAGTGAGGATTAGTACAAACGATTGGTAGGGCTTCAAAATAATCCTGCAGGAAGTGAATGCTCTGATACCATATTAACTTAGCTCAATTAAGCTATTGATTGATCAGCATTAAAGGTCTCTTAGTTTTGCTATGCAATGCATAAACCAACATAATCGATAGCTAAGAAGAAGTAGAGAGAAGATTTAGATGAAGAGAGAAGATATTTTCATTAATTAGTCATTCAATTGTGCATCCTTATATACCTCACTATGAACTAACAACCTCCTAACTCTTGCTGCACTACAGTCTATAAAATCATTTCTAAAATGATAACAGGCAGATTGAGGCAGGTGATGAACATATTGGTAGATGAGAGCCAAGCAGCTTTTGTGCCAGGAAGAGGTTTGATAGATAATGTACTGCTCAGTCATGAATTAATTAAAAGCTATGGCAGGAGAGGGATATCACCTAGATGCATGATCAAGATTGACATGCAGAAGGCATATGATTCAATCGAATGGGAATTTTTGGAGCAGGTTTTAACTGGGCTGTGCTTTCCTGAAATCTTCATAGGATGGATTATGGAATGTCTCAAAACCATATCATATTCCATTTCTATCAATGGAAGTCCTACTAAGCCATTTGATACAAAAAGGGGGGTGAGGCAGGGTGATCCAATGTCACCATTACTATTTGTCTTAGCTATGGAGTATCTGACTAGAAGTCTGAAATAACTGAAAGAGGAGCCAAACTTCAACTATCATCCCAGATGTGAAAAACTCAACATTATACAGTTGAGTTTTGCAGATGACTTGCTTCTATTCTGCAGAGGAGATGAGGTATCTATCCAGCTATTGTGTGATTGTTTTAATAAGTTCTCTAAAGCTTCAGGTCTTGTTGCAAATCAGAGCAAAAGTTGTATGTATTTTGGAGGTGTTCCAGCAGAGATACAACAGAGGATTATCCAAACAACTGGCTTTACTATTGGTGAAATCCCCTTCAAATACTTAGGAGTCCCTCTGAGTGCCAAAAGATTGTCTTTGAATCAATGCCAACCTTTATTAGACAAAATGCTGGGGAAAATCAAGCAATGGACAACAAAGTTCTTAAGCTATGCAGGAAGATTACAGTTGATAAAGAGTGTATTAATAGCCATCCAGAATTTCTGGTCACAGATATTTCCATTGCCAAAGAAAATAATACAGGTGATTGAAGGGATATGCAGAAAGTTCCTCTGGACTGGAGATACAAATACAAATAGGAAAGCATTGGTAGCTTGGGAGAAAATGTGTAGACCTAAATCTAAAGGAGGACTGAACATCACTAATCTCAGCATGTGGAATAGGGCTGCCTTAATAAAACACCTCTGGAATCTGTGTATGAAGAAGGACAAGCTTTGGATAAGATGGGTACATGTCTATTACATAAAGGGAAAGAATCCATGGCAAGTGGAAGTGAAGCAAGCTTCATGGATAAGTAGAAAGATATTACAGGCTGGGAAATACATACAGGAAGCAAGGTTGGACATCAAGAAGATATTGGGATCTCAATCATACTCCATCAGAGCAGTATATAATCAACTGAGAGGAGATTTTCCAAAGGAAGAATGGAGCAGATTAATATGTAACAACAAAAGTTGTCCACGATGGAAATTCATACTGTACCTTGCAGTACAAGAGAAACTATACACCAAGGACAGGCTGTGCAATTGGGGACTACAAGTTGATCCAGTATATGCATTATGTGAGCAAGAGCTGGAAAGCCATCAACATATTTTCTTTCTATGTAGATTTTCAGCACAAGTATGGGAGAAGCTTTTAACATGGATTGGTATAAAGAGAAGAATAACTGACTGGAAAGAAGAATTAAAGTGGGCAGCTGATCACATGAAGGGGAAAGGGTCGAAAACAATGCTGTATAGAATGTGCATCACAAGCGCTGTCTACCAGATCTGGTTGGAACGAAACAGAAGAATTTTTCAACAGGAAAAAAGGAGTAGTGAAGCAATCACAAGGCAGATAATTCAGGAGATACATTGTATAGGAAATAGAGAAAGTAGTTTAAGGGAAGAACTTCAAGTTTTAAACTTCTATCCTTAGGAGTGTTTGGTAGAGGAAGATAACTGAGTTTGGGGCTGCATGTCCAAACTCGGTTTTGATAATCTGTAAATATTTACTTGGTAATAAAATTTTAATTACCAAAAAAAAAAAAAAACCTCCTAACTAACTACTCACAGACTAATTCCCTCCAATTTCTACTTATTTCAAATTGTCCCCTCACAACTCTTTTTGTGTTATTGTGTTAATTATCACAATAGTCTCCCTCAAGCTAGAGGGTGAAAGACATTCAACAAAAACTAAACAGTCCTACTATTCAAAAACGATAGATCTATGGAGTGAATTAGATATGTTAGCACCTAAAATCCTCTTGTGATTGTGAAAAGTCTAGGCCTTTATTGATACATTTAGAACAATAGCAATTACTACAATTTCTCATGGGACTAAACGAGAGTAACAGTAATGTGAAAAGCAATGTCTTACTGAGAAGGCCAGTTGTGTCTATGAAAGAGGCATAAAAAATTATGACATAAGAAGAAAGTCAGAGGGCGTTAGGTGTGATAAACACCAACAGAGACCCAACCTAAGAAGACTGGTTGATATGTGAACACTGTGTCACGATCCAAAATCCTCTATAGGTCGTGATGGCGCCCAACGTCGCCCTTAGGCAAACCAACAGTGAACTATCATGTTAGTCGTTCATTTTATTACTTTCGAAATCATAAATTTTACTCCCTCCGTTCCAATTTATGTGAATCTGTTTGACTGGGCACGGAGTTTAAGAAAAAATAAAGACTTTTGGAATTTGTGGTCCTAAACAAGTCAAAAAGGGGCCCAGAGTATTTGTGTAGTTATAAAACTTCTCAGTAAGGGTAGAATTGTAAGTTTAAGCTAAATTGTTTCAAAATTTAGAAAGGGTTCATTCTTTTTAGAACGGACCAAAAAGGAAATATGTTCACATAAACTGGAACAGAGGGAGTAATAAGAAAAAAAATTTACACTTTTAATTCCACGAGAACGTACAAAATTAGTAGTTTATAAAAGAAATGAAAGGCGATGATAATATACGGAACCGTAAGCATCACTAGTATATCCCAAAACTTGGTGTCACAAGTGCATGAGCATTTACTAAGGAGTACAATAGTAATAAAACATCTATTGGAAATGTAAAATAAGACAGGACAAAGTGAATAGTACGATGGGGACTCTGTGGACTGCGATGCGTAGGCTGGAATGCAGCTCACATAAAGTCTCCTCAACAGCTGCGCCTACGTGCCAAGATGATCCACAAATGAACCTTTCAGGTCCTGCACATTTAGTGCAGAAGTGCAGCATGGGTATGTAAATCAACGCGTACCCATTAAGTATCTAGCCTAACTCCGGAGAAGTAGTGACGAGGGATCGACATCGACACTTACTAGTGGTCCAATAAATCAATATGGTAAATCATAAATAGATAAGAAGCATAATAGTAGTAGTGAAGTAAATCTGTAACTAACACAATATTCCAAAATTTGTTTTAATGATATCAATTTCTCAATCTCGTATTCTATCTCAACAGCTCAGAAATATCAAGTGCCAATATCAAACGGATAAGAAAATACCATATAAAATGTCGGGCATCAGTAGAAGGATAATTTCGTGAATACTCGGACTGCTAGCGATATAACGCACGATTATGCTGAGGTCTTACGACCCAATCCAGAATAATATGTACACTGCCTAGGGTCGAGCGCGAACCATAGATGCATCTATTATAATGCCGAGGTGTTCGGCCTGCTCCACAAAGGAAGGAACTTATCGCATTACGAGACACGTGCTTACAATACAGTAAACGAGTATAAAGTGAATGTAACCTTTACCTTTTCTCAAATAACTTGCCAACAACTCAAGATGATAAGGCTCGACAATAAAAAAAATACATATATATATATATATATATATATATATATATATATATATATATATATATATATGTATTTTTAAATAAATTTTAATTTATAAATTCGTTTGATTAAACCAGCAGAATAAGTTCAAATAATTCAAATATTACATGATAAATTCCTAAGTCTACCCGGACATAAATATGTTTAGCTACATACGGACTCTCGTTACCTCGTGCGTACGTAGCACCCACAACTAGTAGCACATAACAATTACATCACCTAGGGAGTAGTTTCCCCCTCACAAGGTTAGATATGAGACTTACCTCGCTCCGAAGTTCCATAACCGGCTCCTGCGCCTCTCTAACACCTCAAACCAAAGGCCATCTGTCACGACCCCAGTTCGCCCTCCGTGAACTATCGTGATGGCACCTAGTCTCTACGACTAGGTAAGCCTAAAAAATGCGAAAAAACAACTAATCTTGCGAAAATAATAATCATAAGCCGAATAACTGAAAGAAAACAATATTTAAATGTTGCTTGGCATATACACACAACTTTCCAAAATCTGATACACTATCCAAAAACCCGGAAACTCCCGGATCCACAAGCTGAGAAAAACACTACAGAGCTCTAATCTCCGGAATGTCTAACAAGAACATAAGTACAGAAGGGCTAACTACTAAATGCAGGAATAGAAAGAGACTCCTCGGTCTGCGGACGCGGCAGATATACCTCGAAGTCCCGTAGAATCGCCTCGCCTCAAGGATGGCAAGCCTGAGTAGAGGTACCTGGATCTGCACATGAAAAACATGCGCAGGAAGGGCATGAGTACACCACAGCGGTACTCAGTAAGTGCCAAGCCTAACCTCGGTTGGGTAGTGACGAGGAAGGTTAGGGCCCTACTGAGGTGAAATAAGATATAAGGTTTAACAGTGTAAAATAACAGTGTAAATAAATAACACAAGATATAAAGGACAGCAACAACTATCACAGAGGCAAGTAAAGCACAGTAAGAGAACACAACTCAGCTCCAAGATAACAACCGGGGATCTCCCAGGATACCGTCCTGTTGTCCCCAAATATAAATATCATCTCCAGTGGATCTTCCGGGTGGAGTCCCGTAGTCCAACTCATAAATGTGCAGGGGGATCTCCCGGAATGAAATTCCGCAGTCCCAAAGTAAACATACAGGGGAGCTCCTGGGATACCGTCCCGTAGTCCCAAAGTAAAAGTGCAGGGGGATCTCCCGAAATATCGTTCCGTAGTCCCAAAGTAAATACAAAGCAACATTAAGAATTCAATCCAATCAATTTCATATCAAAATGAAGCAAGTAATCCTAACCTAGCATGGTTCACGTAATACAATTAAGGCAGTTAAGGCAATTAGAGCAATTTAATCAAGTAGACATGCTTCGCTAAGCTACAGCAGGTTTAGTGTCCAAACAGTGTAAGCAAGAAAAGGAAGAACACAATTCAAGGCTATTTTTAATGAATAACCGGATTTCCAACAATTAGCACAAGTACGCGCTCGTCACCTCACGTACGAGGCATTCCAATTACCACAATATCAATCCTAAGGGGGAAAGGTTCTCCACACAAGGTTAGACAAGCCACTTACCTCGAACAAGTGCAAGTCAACCCGAAACCACGCCTTTGCCACGAGTATCCGACTCCAAATGGCCCAAATCTATTCAACTCAATTTCATAATGTAAATAACTCTTCAAATAGCTGATTCTATAATTAAATTCTATGCTAAGACGCGAAATTAGGTAAAATGACCAAAACGCCCCTCAGGCCCACATTTCGGAATCGGGTAAAATTACATTTTCGGAATCCTTATACTCTCACGAGTTCATACATACAAGTAACACTGAAATCGGAGCCCAAATGATCCCTCAAATTCTCATTTCAAAGTCTCTTAATCCCAAGCCCTAAATCCCACAATTACCACTGATTTTCCTTAATTTTTTCATGCTTAGGATGATAAAAATCAGTATAATAACGAGTTTTGGGACCAAAGACCTTACCCCAATGGACTCCTCTGAAAATCCCTCTTGAAAAATGCTCCAAAAGCTTCTTCCCGTTTGCAAAGAGGTAAAAAATGACTAAATTCGCGAAGGCAAGTATTTATGTTCTGCCCAGCGATTTCCGCATTTGCGGGCCCTGGGACTGCAGCTGCGGTCCCGCTTCTGCGGAGACTTAGTCGCATCCGCGACTTTCGTTAAAGTGGCCAGAAACCGCATCTGCGGTTGCCCTTCCGCAGATGCGCCGCCGCTTTTGCGGTTTTCCTTCCGCATCTGCGGAACCTGAAGGATACTCGATAATCCGCTTCTGCGGTCTTCTTAGCCGCTTCTGCGGCGCCACATCTGCGGTTCCCAAACCGTAGATGCGGAAATACCAGAAGCAGCAACACACAACAGCTGCAACATTTCACAAAACTCCCCGTCAACCACCCGAAATCATCCCGAGGCCCCCGGGACCTCAACCAAAGGCACCAACAAGTCTAATACCACTCCCCAAACTTGTACCAATCCTTAAAACGCCTAAAACAACATCGAAACCTCAATTTAACCATGGATTCAAGCCTAAGAACTCCAAATTTCTCAAAATACTCTTTCGATCAAAAAGTATTTCAAACCCCTTCCGAATGACCTGAAATTTTGCACACACATCCCAAATGACATGACGGAACTACTGTAACTCTCGGAATCCCATTCCGACCCTCGGATCAAAATTTCACTATCGAACCGGAAACTTCAAAATTCGACCTTTCGTCATTTCAAGCCTAAATTAGCTACGGACCTCCAAAACACAGTCCGAACACGCTCCTAACCTCGAAATCACCCAACGAAGCTAACAGAACCATCAGATTTCCATTCCGAGGTCGTCTTCATACTGTTCCGACTACGGTCAACTTTCCAACACTTAAGCTCTCATTTAGGGACTAAGTGTCCCAAAACTCTCCGAAACTCAAAACCAAACATCCAGGCAAATCGAAATAGCAGAAATAAACATGGGGGAAGCAGTTAATAGGGGATCGGGGCGTAAATTCCCAAAATGACCGGTCGAGTCGTTACATCCTCCCACACTTAAACATTCGTTCGTCCTCGAACGAGCACAAAGACATACCTGAAGTAGTGAAAAGATGGGGTACT